TTGAACTTGATAATAGTTTCATCACCGAGACTGAAATATGCAATTAAAATAATTGTATTAATAAAAATAAAAATATAAATTAATATTTATAAATTTTATAAACAAACCAATTAAATATAAAGCAATAAGTTTGTTCTGATTGATTACTTTTTCACTTTTGCATCAATACAAATTTGTTTTTTAAATAATCAATGAGAACTTGCACGTTTCAAACAAGTGTAAAAGTATGGATAGAGCACTATAAGTATTCGCATCCGCCATTTTTATTCCTTTTCCCCACTCTTTGTTCTCTCTTCAACCTTCAATCTTCTCTCTTCTCTCTTCAATCTTCTCAACTCAACGGCGGAATGGAGAAAGAGCAAGGGATTGGAAAAAGGAGCAAGAGAGACTAAAAATAGCAGATGTTATTTTTATACTCTGCATATTATAGTATAGGCAACCAAACTATACGTTCCAAAATTATCTGTTAGTACCGACGAGATATTAAAATGGCTAGAATGTATTAGTTGGACATTTATCTGATATCAGAAACAGTAGACATCTTATTATCTAATTTTGAATATAATTTTCGCATTTATGTAATTCACACTTGTTAAAATTATCTGTAAGCTGTAGGAGCTTTTATACTTTGATATGTAGTATTATGTTTAGCTCATCGATATTTTAACATTTATGATAAATTTCATGGACGCCACGAAGATTACATGCAAAAGGCTATGTTTCCAATCTCACAAAAATGTTTTAAACCTTGTTATTATGGGAAAGTAGATATATTGGAATAAATGTTACCGATTATTAGTTTGGATATGGATGTGGATTTAAAGCTTACACTACTCTTCTAACTTGTCCATGATATTTGAGTGGCTTCATTAGAAATAATTTGTGATAAAGTATTTCTAATAAACTGCTTATCCGTCGAACCTCCGATTCGACATATCATATGTACCTGTAATATAGTTACAAAAAATATACACAAATGGAATATGAATGAAAGAAATGTATATATGATAGCGAAAATGAAATATACGTGTTTGAAAAGTTCAGTCAATGGTTAATTTGGTACCGACCATCATACATCTTTTTATGTAGCAATTTTGCCACTTAATTCTCTATTTGCATTATGTCATACTTTAATATTATATTATATCAAATCCTTTTCAATAATATTTAATATAAAATTACCAAATTTAATACACATAAATAAAAAAAATCCTTGATGATACATGAGAAATTAAATTGACAAAATTCAAAAGTTATAAGATGGCGAGTAAATTTCTGAGCACAATTTTCCTAATGGACAATACAGCATTTAAAGTAATATTTAATAAATATGACAATATGAATATACTTACAAATTGTTTTCTCATGTTGATATTCACTTCCAACTGATTTTCGCACTGCAAGAACTGTTTCAGTGTCATTAGAGATAATGGAGATAACAGACCTTGTGCTACAGCTTCATTGACTCACTTCATCCTGCTTTCCCTTCTTTTAGTAGAACTTCAATAGCACACAGTGTCTAGACAATCTTTTCAGTTCCTTACGGATGTAGTCTCTGCATTCGTCTGTAATGATATGAAGAAATTGCAACAAAAACTGAATTAATAGCTATTAATTAACTTTGAGCTTTTCGAAATTGATAAGCCATCAATGTTTAAGTCCAAATAAATTACATCACAATAGTCGAAAGCATGAGAAAAACGATTATCGATTAATATAAGTAATTAATTTTTTTTTAATAAATCGTAGTGAACGTACTGACCTTTGGAAAGGGTTTTAATATCATGAGTACCTGATCTTGGAGTGTTCAAAAGTATTCGCGCATCTCGAGGTAAATCATCATACCCGTGTCTTGAAAGAACTTGTAATAAAGAGGTTAATGCATTGATTAATTTGAAATTCATTTACCCAATTGCACAATTCAAAGGCAAATGTACATTTTCTTGCGGGTTGATTTGAAATTCGTCACTGCTTGTCTCTGATGATGAACTACTTGTAACTAATATCAATTTCTAAATGTGAATATTGCGAATTATCTAATAAAGCTGAATATTGCGAATAATTGATCTCTATCTTTAATTTCAGACTCTTCAAATTCGAAGGCTGATGAATATGATGGACCGTCGATTGAGTTATCGTCAACATTTGAAAGTAAAATCGGCTGAAAGGCTATTTCGATCTGAATTGTAATAAAGTAAAATTCGTCGACGTTTCGTCTCAGAAAATTATTTGAGCATTTTCAGGTTTTCTAGTTATTTAATCATAAATAATTAACTTACACAATCCGGCTCTGACTATATACGCGTTATTAATTTTAAAATGTCTTTAATTAATAATTAAATACATAAATAATATTTTACACAAAAATACGTTATCATAGTTGCACTGATGCATAGTTCCCTTTATCTAAATCTTTATAATAATAAATCTTATAATATTAATTCTTTAATTATTAACAGACTCCCGGCCGCTATTTCTGCAATCGCCATTTATTAGCCATTGTATGCTGCAATCACGTGCACGTACACCCCAATCAGAAATAATTTCTCGAAAAGACGTTTCGATGTCGAAAATAAAAGTCGAAAGTTTTTGAAATTTCTATTAAATGGATTTTTAGCTTCAATGTCGATTAATTTTCGAGTTGGAAATAAAATCTTGAATTGATCAGCATAAAAATAAACTACTAGTGCCACTAATGCAATAAGTAAATTCGACAAGTAGTATCACTAATAGCGTAATAGTGGTGGAGAACATTCATTAAAATTTCATTGAAATTTCATTGAAATAAGTATTATTGATTAGCATCATATTTCAGAAGATACATGACAAAATTATAATAAAAAAAAATTTATTTTATGAATTTGAGAACTAATTTTATGATGAACCCATGCGTGATCATCCGAACTTCCACTTACTATACTTCATTTCTGTGATCGCACGAGAACTATTCCTTCGAAGAATCATGAACACCTACAATGCTAATGATGTATCTGTTCAAACATATGAAAGAGACAGAACACATAAAAAATATAATTAATGTTAAATATAGTAGTAATATACAAATGATGACACCTATGATAATAACT